CCGGAGCCCGCAGCGTCCCGCCTCGAGCCCCGCTTCGCTCCCTCCGCCGTCGCCCAGCAACCACCGCCGCGGCCGCAAACCGAAGGTCGCAAAGCGCCGGTTACCGTGGCGACGGGAGCTGTGCGCGCTCAGGAAAAACCCGGCCGCCGCTCTCGGTCGGAAAGCCGGAGGCCCGCGGCTCCTCGCGAGGCCCGTCCCTCAGCGGCCGGGTGCCGGGGTGCGGAGCCGGCGGCGGCGCGGGCCCGGCCCGCTGCGCCCCGGCTCTCGGCGGTCGCCTCCCCGCAGGCCTCGCCTCCCCGCGCCCGCAGTGCCCCGGGCATCGCCCTCGGGGTCGTCGGCGCCGCGCCGGGGAAAGGCTCGCAGCCCGACTCGTCGGCTCGGCCGCTAGAGGGGAGCAGAGCCCGGTCTCTGGCGCGTTGTCGTTGCCGTGGGACGGGGCGGGGCGAGGACGCCTGAGCCCGTCGCTGCTGAGCCCCGGGAAGCCGGGCCCACATGTCACCTTGCTCCCGGGGCCCCTACAGCACAAGGAAGCTGAGGACGTGGCTGCCCCTGATGAGACCCAGGCAGAAGCTGGATGGGGGGGGGGGAGAGCAGCCCCCTGCTCCTTGCCCGTAGCTCCCTCTTGTTCAAGCCGGGCCCCCGGGTCCCAGATCCAAGCTGGCTGGGTCCAGCTGCCGGAGGAAAGGAGGAAGCGCGGGCACGTTTCTGCTCTCAGCGCAGCCGGGCTGACGACACAGGACTTGTGCGCCGGGCTGGGCCGTGCAGGGGTGGGAGTGACGACCGCTCTTCTGCCGTTGGCTTCCACGCGTCAGCCTGGTCTCCGTCATGCACAAGAAAGGGGGGCCCCGGAGTGGCCAGGGCTGCAGCGGGGTGGGACGTGCTCGCACAGCAGGGCTTTGCCTCCGCTGCGAACTCCCGGTCCTCAGAGAAAACTGGGCGGGGCAGGACCAGGACCTGCTCCCCACGTGCACCTTACAGCTGGGCCCAATAATAGCTTTGAAAGGCTTGGCCCACCCAACTGCTGCTTTCCCTGAGCCTGATAAGGAGGGTCCTGTGTTACAGATCATGGTAAAAAAAAAATCTGTAATAAATCACTAACTTGTAATGTACTTGGCTGAAGTCTGAAAAGCACTCCTCCCTAAGGCTTGTGACTGGCTAACGTCCCACAGCTGGCTTCACATCTGTCATCTCCTAGGGTTTAGGCCAGCAGCTGCCTGGGGTGGGGTCGTTTTGCTTGAATTTTATTGGCCGTTATTCCCTTTGCGGGTTCCTGCTTTTGTCTAAGTCTTTGGCTGTTCTCTGCCTCTCCTGGACAGAACAGGGAACTCCCCACCCCAGGCCCGTCCAGCTCCTCTCTCCCAGCTGTGTCTCCCCCTCCAGTCAGCGTCCACTCTGACTCGGAGTCTTCAGAGTTGGCGTCTCACCTGGACGTGGAGCCGCTCCAGGTGTGCGCCTCCTCTGGAGGTATCTTGTCATTGCTGCTCTCTGGGGAGGAGCTGCCCAGGACTCCTACCTCCCCTGGTTGGTCTGAACCAAACCGTATTTTAGAGGAGACAGAAAAGGAGAAGGAGAGAAAGAAAAGAGAAAAGTCAACAGCACTTGCATGTCACATACTCTACACCTCAGGGCAGCATCTGTGATGACCTGTCAATGACACAAAGCTGAAAGAGCATTAAGATAGTGGCAAGGGTAGAGAGAGCTGTGAGATAGGGAGAAGGGCAGCCAGGGCCCCTCGTCCACCTGCTAATAATATCCAGGGGCACCTCTGTCCAGGCATGTGGTGGGGGCAGGTAATCCTGAAAGTCTCCTAATCCTGACGTGACCCTACGAGTTTGGTCTCAGTTGGCCTTTTCTGGCAACCAAGGACCCCCAGAGCCTAGCTTCCCAGCCCCGAATCTTTACCTCCTTGTCTCAAACCTTCGCAAAACTCTTAGTCTGTTTTCTCCTTCCTTTAACCCCATTTTCTGACCAGAGCCATTGCTGGTTCTGTGTGGTTCAGTATGCACACGACGTCAACAACGGGACCCCGGGGTCTCAGTCACAGCCTTGGACACGCAGTCCCCTCTGCCTTTATCTCCTAGTCCTCTGGCTCTTCCTCTGTTGTTCTGACCCTTCCACATCTTCCCCACAGCTCACTCTGACCCGCTAACGCCTGGCTCTCTGCTCAGCCAGAATAAGGACATGAACCAACAAGGACAGAGGGATGACCAGAAAGAGAGACTGCATGAGGCCAGATGGTGAGCGCTCCTGAGACACGAGCCGGAACGACCTGGAGAGGAAGGCGGACTGGTCAGCAGATTTGGGGTCAAGGGGAATAGGCATCAGGTGAGTCAGAGAATGATGGAGAGGTGGGGTAAGGATGGGAAAGAACTTGAATTTTTGAGAGACTTGGAGATATTGAATATGGAAGTATCAGTGGGTCATTGTTGAGTGGTCAAAATTGGGGGCCCAAGAGGGAAGCAGCTGAGTGATCCCAGCAGTGGGCACATAGGCACCCAGAAATCTCCCTTTGGGTCTTCCTGTTTCCATTTCAGATTCCATGTCTGAATTGCCCTCCCCAACAACTCTCTTTGTGTGTGTGCATCTTTCTGCCTCTAGGTTCCCCTATCTTGCTGTGCCTTGAGGTCTGCCTCTCACCTTGTCTCCTTTTGTGTTTCTCTGGCTGGGTCTGCCGCTTTTTCTCTCTCAATCTCAGTGCAGCCCTCTGACTCTCCAACAAGGGGCTTTAGAACGCCTTAGGAATGGCCCCCGTGGCTGTTTTCTAGAACTGTGGAGCCAGCCTGTAGTCCCTGGGCATAGGGTACTGATTACTGACGAAGGCCTGAGTTGGCCTTTCAGGGTGCAGGGCTTTGGCACAGAGGCCCAGGGAGGGCAGCAGACTGGCCGGGGGACTGGACGGCGGCCTCTGTTCCTGCTAGCTCACAGACCAGTGCTTCCTCATCTCGCCAATTATCACATGCAAGGGGTCTTGCTGTTTCTCGATCTGCAGACCTACTTTTTTGCCACTTCTGGAACCGAATGGGAAACTGAGGTTTGGGATGGCCTCAAGGGGAGGTTGGAGGGAGGTGCCCAGGGGTTCCTGGGAGGAAGGCACGAAGCACACCTCGGTGGCTGGTGGACACACTCAGGGACTCGGGGGCTCTGCCAGGCTCCACCCCCGCTTGTCCTGTGTCTGGGACCTGCCTACTGCAGCCTCAGCTCAGAGGCTCTCAGCCGCACTGTCTATGGGGCTGAAGACCGATGCAGGGCAGGGCGCAAGTCTCCAAGTGCTGTAGGAGCGAGGCCAAGGATGAGTCCTGCTGCGGCCGGAAAGCCTGGCCCTGCTTCTCAGGACCAGACAGCATGAGCCTGGGGCCCCCAGTCCCCCAGCAGGGCAGCTGCACCTGCCTTCTGAGCGCTGGTGGAGGAGACAGATGGAGCTGCAGGTCTGAGGTGACTGTGGGTCCTGGTGGGGACAGAAATGAGAGGGTCAGGGTTTTCAAGGTGCAAAAGAGGATGACGCTAACAAACTCCAAAGAAAATGTGCCCTCAGATGACAGGACCCCCCAGCTGCTACCAGCTGCTACCAGCCCCCACTGCCCCTCCCCCAGTGTCGCCTGGTTTCTCCCCATCCTGTGATGTCTCCTCTCGGTAGCGTCTTCCCCACTCTCTCCCCTAAGCTCCCAGCCCTTCAAGGGTTCTCAGAGCCCCTGATCTCCTGGTGTCTTTCTCGAGCTGAGCCCCGTTTTCCATTCTGCAGCTGCCCATCCATCCCCGGTGCTAGGTGAAGGATGATGTTTGATTGCAGGGCCTCCGGAGGCTCTCCCCTGGGGAGGCCAAATTGAGTGGTGGCAGGAGCTCAGGCTGATGGCCTGGAAGTGGCAGTCTTGGTTCAGGGCAGAACCCCACCCTCAGCATCAGGCTGGGGAGCTGCAGAGGCCTGGTGTTACCTGGAGACACCCCTGGTATGGTGGGCTCTGCAGGCTGGGCTGGCCCCTGGGGGCTGCCTCCGTGTCCCCAACAGGTGGGCTCCCTGGGAGGGGCCCAGCCCCCTCTGTGGTCAGCACGGAGACGGGAGTGCGGGGAGCATAGCTTGGGGTTCTCACAAGAATCCATTCTCTCACTCAGTTTTCAGGACCCCAGTTAGCCTTCACTCTTTAACTCCTGCTAGCTGCTGTTGTCGCCCTCAGAAGACTGACTTCCACGAGGGCTCCTACTGTTGTTAGACCCATACTCCTGGGCCCTGGTTTCATGGCGGTGCATTTACAGAATGTGAGGCATCCCTGGGGTGAGGACGAGTGCGGGCTGTGCACACACAGCCTCCTGAGAAGCAGCGCCCAAGCGTGCCTGTGTCCAGCCATCTCGTGCCCCCGTGTGTCACTCTAGTTTTAGGGCTCTGCAGGGACAAGCAAGTCCAGCCCCTGAGCGCCAAGGGACATTGTTAGGCCACCAGGAAGTGGGGTTGTCATTCCAGGATGGGGCTGGGACCGGGGCTCTGTGGGGCTGCAGGATAGGCAGGCAGGGACGGCACACGCTTGGCAACGTGTAGATGGAATCTCTTGGAAAACGGGGTCTCCGTCCTAATACTGGGCTCCAGCCGAAGGGAAGGGAAAGCTGCTGGGGGTCCTGTTTTCCATGGGGTCCCTCCCCATCCTCCATGGGAGGAGCAGGGAGACTGACCTGGAGGTGGAATCAGGTCCCATATCAGCCACCTTCTTGCACAGTGTCAGCACCCCAACACCTTCCCGTACAAAGTGCAGAAACCAAGGCAACGCGCAGATGAGGAAAAGGTACCAAGACCCAGAGAAGCAGAGCTGTGTAGAAATGGGTCGCAGACATTTTGTCCACACGTGCTTCCTGCCTGTTTCGCTCTGAGGCACTGCCCACTCGGGTCTCCCCCAAAGCCGTGTCCCCTGCTCTGACTCCTCTCTGACCTGGGACAGTGTCAGCATGGACAAACAGGATATTACTCACGGAAGGAGCTCTCGCCCACTCCCACCCCGGCCCGCCCACCCTGACCCACTGCCTGTCACCCTCACTCTCACTCTCCTTCACCCCCACACCACCCCACCCATCCCTGTCCTCCCTGACTCACCTCCAAGTCCCATTCACACAAACAAACATTTCAGCACAACCCACTCCAACCGGTTTGGCTCAGGTGTGCAGCCTGCTGTGGGGACTGCGCACACACAGGCACGTGGGGGTGCACGGTGCTGGGGTACAGCACGCTCTCCTAAGCAATGGTCACATGTTCTGTGTCGGTCCCCTCCTGGAGCCTGCAGAGTGGAGCCCACGACATGTCGACATGTCGGTTGAACTCAGGCGTGCGGGCAGGGACGTGCTAAACATGCTGCCTTGGTGTGAATTGTTCCCATTCTTAGGGCCAGAATGTGGGTGGGAGAAGGGCAGGGAGGGAGGCAGAGCGGAATGGGGGTTCAATGAGGAAGAAAGAACAGAGCCCAGGGGACCAGGCGCTGGTCTGGGAAATCTTCCTCCGCTGGTGTTTCCTTCCAGCCCCAACCCCAGGCTTCTCCCCGAAGATGGAAGGATGCGTCTGCGTCTGAGGGGGTGCTCCCTAGGAGCAAGGCTCGTGACACACGAGGGCCAGGGGCTTGGGGGATGTGCTGGCTAAGTGAGGAGAGACCCCTTCCTCAAGCAAGGTCTGCAGTGGCCGCTGGGCTCACACGGTGTCCTTAGCTGTGTTGACAAGGACCTGAGCACACCATGGAAGTGTCACCTGTCCTGGCCTTAGCCACCCGGAGAGTCCTGCGCCCTTTCAGTGCCTCCCCCACACATGGCTGGAGTCGGGGGTGAGTGACTGACGGTCCCAACCCGGGGTCGCAGACTTGACTGGCAGTGCTGGGAGGACAGGTGCGTCGTGAGTGGGGCAGCTGAAGGACACACAGGGACTGCATAGCCGCTGTGATCTGCTATCCCACCCGTGCCTCAGTTTCTCCTGGGGTCGCCTGGACCAGGAGGGGTGAGTCGTGGGAAGGAAGGGAGCTGCTCTGAAAACCCTGCGATAGGATCCGAGGTGCGATGATCATAATTACAACTCGGCGCTCCCCTGCCGCCCCCTGGCCCTACCCCGCCCCTGCCACTGTGGATCTCAAGGCAGCATCGGGGTGGGGCTGCTGCCCTGGCACAGGCGGGGCGGGGGGCCTGAGTCCTTATGAGGGGAATGGGCTTGCAGGGCGGAGGTGGCATCCAGCCTGGCCCTTGAGGCCACCATTGACCTTGAGGAAGATGTCCCTGCTATGGCCATCGCTGAGAGCTGGGATCTAGACCCAGAGTGGGGCCACGGCCCAGGTCCAGAAGCCAAGCGTCCACGTCACTGACCGCACCTGCCCTCGCTGCATACTGACACCGTGCATTCACCCACTCGGTAGGAGCACACTCAGCCCCACTGGGTGCCATGGGCAGCAGACACGGCCATGAAACAAGCCTGACATCCGAGGAGCCCACAGGCACAATCTCGTCCAGGCCCTCCGTCTCCACAGCGGCCCGCTCCCCGGCACACAGCGGCGCGGTCAGCGTTTCCTGGATTGAAGCTCACGGTTTAGTTACAATGAGGTGAGCACAAACCGAGCCCACGAGCTGTCACACGGGGCTCGCAGGGGCCAGGAGTGGCCGGGGCTGAGTGCACACGTGTGGTCTTGTCCAGGATCGTGAGATAACGGGTAGAACGGCCACCAGCTGATGGAAAGGCTCCCCCTTTCACCGCCAGCACAGCCGATGCCCTCTGCGACTCCTGGCCAGGTAAGGAGGGGGTGTTGAAGCTGAGAGGCCCCCGCAGAGCCCAGGAATCGGGGCGAATTCCTTGGTTAGTCCCTTGGCTTCTGCACGTGGGTGGGATCGGGGGTCACGTAAGCTCCTTCTCAGGGTTCTTTGAACTTGGTCCCTGCCTGGGGTTACAGGTGTCTGAGCCGACTGTGATCAGTCCTCCAGAAAGACCCTTCCCCTCCCTGGGCCTCTTGTCACCTGAGGCCAGTGCTGTCCTTGCAGGAGCTGGGGGAGCGTGGCAAGGCCCCGGGAAGGAGCAAGGCTGGCAGGTGTGGGATGCTGAGACCCCTTTCCACCCACAGGACCTTGCCCCTGTTCCTCCTGGCCCTGTGCCTCCCTATTTGAGCCACCGGGGCCTTCTCCTGCCCACCTGCTCGCCCCTCACCTAGCCTCTCCCTTCCAGCCCCTTCCACACGCTGATGATGGGATCCTATCCCCAGGTCCTTCCCTCCCTGGCGCCCATTAGCTAGCCCAAGCCGTGGGGGCGGCGTCTGCGGATCCCTGTGCCAGGCCCAGCCCCCGAGACGCACCTGTTCTGACCTGCTGAGCAGGTTCCCAGGTTTCTGCCGTCGTCGTTGGCCACGGCGTGGGAAGCAGCTCTGGGGGAGCTCGGAGCTCCCGGTCACGGCTCCTTGGGGGTAGCTACCGCTGGGCGGTAGAACGGGGGCCGGGTCCCCTAGCGGAAACCCCAGGGGGGTAGGCAGGCGTGTCAGAGCCTGGGGACTGGGTGGCTTGCTGCCCTCTGGGTCGGTGCCCCAGCCAGCTCTCGAGCCGGCTCCCAGGGAGAACTCGGAACTTCAGAAACACTGGGCAGCTCTGCCTTTGGACCGATGCCCCCGTCCCTGGGAGCCGACATGTGGGGGCCTGAGGCCTGGCTGCTGCTGCTGCTCCTGGCGTCATCCACAGGTAGGCTCGCCTGGGCCACCGGGACCCTCGCTTCCGCGCCCACGTTGGCGTGCACGCGCGTGCACACGCGCGCACACACAGCCTCTTTCCTTTGGCTGGACCTCAGCCGCCAGCAGTGCCCCCGAAAGAGTCAGAGCAGCTGTCCTGCTTTGTGTCCCCTCCAGCCCCAGGCCAGGTCACCATGTCTGGGGTCCCTGACTGCCTGTGCCAAAGCCTGGCCTAGGCTGGAGCTGCCTCTGGGGGACCAGATCAGGTGATCGAGTGCAGGTGGGCAGGGAGGTGGGACCGGGGGAACCCTTCCACCCCAGGGTTTCCTGGAGGAGCCCTCGCTGACCCTGGCGAGATGGGCTGACACAGGGCTGCGCTGGCTTCAGCGGTCATCGGGGAGCAGGGGCCTGATGCCTAGAGTGGCAGGCGGTCTCTGTCTCCTCCTGTCTCCATGGTGTCCTGGAGTCCAGCCTGGGGCACCTGTGGGCCTCGGGTCCCTCTCTTTCCCTGCACTCAGTATTAGGTGCCAGGGTGGGACCAGGTGATTACTTAGATGAGTCGGGATGCCTGCTAAGTAGGGTGTGGCCCCCTTTTGTTCACCACTTGCCCCCCATTTTCTCAGCTGCCTTGTGTTATTCGTGTCTAATGTGTATAAAGCAGATATGACAGGACTGTGGAGTCTTCCGCACGGGAATTGGGGGGAGTGTGTGTGTACGTTACGTGTGTGTGTACAGGATACATGGACTCCATGGGCTGTGTCCACGGTGATGGGTAACTGAGAATCTTCCTCTTTGGGAAGGCGGGGACCCGTCTGTATAGGACAGCTCGACTCCCAGGCCCAGGAGCAGGAAAGGGCCCAGCAGCCATGTCCCCACCTCATTGCCTGCGGATGGTGGGTGGGGCTGCTTTCCTCTGGTCTTGGAGTGGGCGGGTTGTGGGCCCCCCACATCTTAATGCCCATCTTCCAGACAGCCCTTCTCATTTGCTCAGGCCAAGATGGTGGGACTGGTTGCTGGGCCAGGGAACCTAGCAGCCACTCCCTTGCAGGACCGACCCACAGCTAAAGAAGGGAGTCACGATGTGTCAGGACTTGGACGGGATCAAAGAGATCACAGCTCCAACTCCTCACTGTACAGACGGGAAAGCCAAGGGAAGTAGGTAGGCCGGTGAGACCTGTGAGGTCACTGTCAGAAGCATGAGCGGTGAGCGTCTGCTCTGCTGAAGGGACAGGGCGCTGGGTGCCGCAGAGGCGGCCGGAACCAGCCGCGGCACAGAAGCCCCGGGAAGGGGAGAGGAGGCCCCTTTGGTGAGGGCATCACCTGGCGCTGCCCTGACGGGCAGGTGCTGTGCAGAGGAAGGCGGCCTGGCCCCAGGACTGCCCAGGAGGCCGGTGCCCGCAGGCCACACTCTGCGGCTGTCGCCTGCGCAGCCAGCTGGACCAGACGGCCCTCCACTGCCACCCCCACTGTCTGTGTTCAGGCATCTCCTCAGAGGCTCCTAGGAAGCTGGAGTGTTTCTTGTCTCTGAAAAAGCTTTGTGTTTTGGCCCCATTTCTGCTATGAATTTGTTAGGTGACCTTGGTCAGCTAAGAAGCTAGACTTGGGGAGACCAGGAGGTAGGGCCAGATCTCTCCATGACGCCAGCTCCGGGGTTCCGCGGATGTGGGGAGGTCCTGGCTGCGCCTCTGAGTGGGGACCAGGGTAGCTTTCCCCTGGGTACTGCCCTCTGCCCCCAACTCCTGGGCCATTAGCATTCCCTTTGCCGCCCCCCCACCACTGGCCCTGCCCCACCCCCGACAGTGGGGAGCCAGGGGCCCAGGCTGGGGAGGCGCCTGACACCACAGCTCTGTTTCTCTTAATGGGATGAGTTTCCGGGTGAGGCACCCGCCCTCCGCCCTCGCCCATCTCCTGCCTGAGGCTGAGAGCCCCAAATCTACAGACACCCCTCCAGCAGGGTCCTCCTTCCCAGGTCTTTGTCTGGGCCCAGCGGGGCCCGGCTGGGTCAGAGTGAGGGCTCTCTGAATCCTGAGGCCTGTCCTCCGAGGGTGAGGGTCAGCTTTTTGTCTGAAGTTGGTTTCCTAGAAAGGGTGGGGCCCCATCCCTGCTTTTCGACTCCTGTTCACAGCTGGGGCAGGCGCCTAACTTTGGGATCCGCCCAAAGCCAAGGAAGCCAGAAGGGGAGGAGAACGGGGAGGCCCTGGGAGCCCTGTGGCCCCAATGACCTCGTCCCAGCCTGCTGTTTTGGGTAGGGGCTGTGCTAGGGGACCCCAGCCACTGAGATGACAGCGAGGACTGAGCAGGGTCCACGGTCCCAGCCTGTAGACCACAGTCTTGGGATCCTGGGGTCCCCCAGGGGAAGTGAAGGGGCACAAGCCCCGTTTGGAGAGAATGCCTGGCTTCCTGGCCAGGGTCTCAGCAGAGAAGGCTGGGTGGGTGGGAGCTGAGTCAGGCCAGGAGGAGGGGGCCTGGGGGCAGGATCTAAGATGAGAACTTAGGGCCACTGAGCCCCTGGAAGAGCTGGAAAGTGGTGTGAGACCCCCCGCCCGCGGGACGGGAGCCCCGGGCCCCCCCCATTGCTCTCTGCCCCTCTTGCCTTTAAAGCTGGTATGTCCCAAGAGCTGAGCTGAGGCTGTGATTTGGGTGGGGCAGGGCTGGCCACACTTGGGGGGGGGCTGGCAGGATTGAGGTGGGGGCCGGGTGGGGGTTGGCTAGGATCTCAGGGGTTTGGGAGAAGCTGAGTTCTGGGTCTCCCACCCACAGTGTGGCTGTTGTGGTGACTCAGCCGGGCTCAGACTGGCTCCGGGGGGTTTAGGGGACTTATCTGTGCTGGGAGCTGTGTCTGGGCCAGAGCCGGCTGCCTCAAGGCCTGCCCTCCCCCATTGTTCTCACCTCCCTTTGAGATCGGGGCGTCCCCCTCCCCAGACACTAATCAGTGGGTGGGCGCTTTGCCCAGGCTGGGAAGCTCTCACTAAGCTGGGGGGCTTAGGGCAGTGGGGGGTAAGTGGGGGAGGGGGGGTGAAGGCAGAGGGAGAATCTCCTGGATTTCAAGGTTCCTTGGCACTGCGAGGCCAAGGTTATGGGGGAGGGGAAGAAAGGAGACTTGCTGGGTTGTTCACATCACCTGTCCTGAGTGGGGGCTTTGTGGCTCCCCTCCCAGGTCCTTCCCCACCCCAATCTCACCCAGACCTTCCAGCTCTCTCTGGTGGACGCTGCTGCTGTGCGGTGAGGGGAGGCAAGAGTTAACTAAGGAGAAGGAGACCCTGGAAGGCTCGGATCCCTCCCCCAGCCCCAGGCAGGACCCCCCCTTCCCACCAAAGCCACACCAGACAGCCCTTACCCCGGGCCTGGTGCTGGAGCTGGTTTTTCTGGTGGTGGCAGCAGCAGAGGCCTGACACATTCCCAGGGAGAGGCCTCCTGGCGGGGCCAGAGGTGCTGGGCCCAGAGGAGTGGCTGGGGGGGCTAGAGAGTGGGACAGAGGAGCTAGGAAAGGGAGGGCTTTTGTTTTGTTCTGTTGGGGAGCCCTTCACGGCAACTTCCCATCCCCTGGAGGGACAGTCTCTGGGTCCCTTCACCGGAGATGACTCTGCCCTCCAGTCTGGGGTGAGGTGGGGGCAGCCTGGGCGACACTCCAGATGAACACAGAGCCACACACCACTGACCACAGGCAGGTGACACAGGTGGACACACAGAAGCCAAGGCAGACCCACATCGAAATAGGACTCTGCTGTGTGCAGAGTCCGTGGGACAGCAAGCGTGCCGTACGTGTGCCCTGAGACGGCGTGGCACAGAGCTGCACACATGTCACACACCGTCACATACCACAGACAAGCACACAGTGTCCTGAAGGCAAGACATGAACTTGTGTGACACGCTCCAGCTTCACGCAAGGAGCAGCCTCATGCACCCATGGCTGGCACTGGTACCAGGCTGTTGTCACCCAAAGCTCAACGTCACACACACAAGAGTCACGGAGCCGCCTCTGGGGCCCCTCGAGCACCCCTGAATTACTAGTAGGGAATGCTGGCAGAGAAAGGCCCCTCAGGAGGAAAAGCCTCCTTCCTCAGACACTGCAGCTGCCACTGCGTTTCCCTCCTGAGGTGAGAGGCCAGGTGTCACACAGATAGGGACATTGGGACCCAAGTACCAGCCCGCCCAAGCCAGAAGTGCAGGGCCTGTCTGGGAGTGGGTGGGCGGGGCACACAGAGGGCAGGGCCCCAACGAGGCTGTGGGGGCCTGGCCAGGGTGGGGAGGCCAGGGCAGGGATCCCGTCGGGCCAGTCGGGCCTGTTCTGTCTCTTGCGCAAGGTCGGCCTGGCCTCTCGCTGTGCCTGGGTGCTCCCAGGAGCCGGGGTGGGGGCCAGGGAGGAGGGTCCAGCCAGCAGAGGCCACCACCGGCCCCAGCAGACAACTTGCAGCAGAGGGTCCACGGGCTTGGCCTGGCCACTCCATGCCCGCACGGTGACCTCACCAGGCAGGCAGGTGTCGCCTTTGCTCTGGTGACGTCATCATGCTGACACCAGGTTTGGGAAGAGGAGGAGAGGCTGTCTTGGCAACACTGGTGGGGGAGTCTGGGTCCATCCAGCCCAGGGTGCCGGTTCTGGAGCCCAAGCTCTCTTCCTTGCGTGTGCGTGTGCGTGTGAAGGTGTGTGTTGGGGCTTTGCCCCAAGCTGAGCTGCTCCCTCTGAATACTGGATTTGGGGCAATGGGGGCTGTGCAAGAGATGCAGAAGGGACTTTCCTACTTGACTGGGTTCTTCATTCTGCAAAGCTTGGACTTGTCGCTTGGAGTGGAGATCTTGGCTTCAGGCATGAGCTGGGTACTCAATACCTGTTGTGCCCTAAGACGGTATTTTGAGGGTAAATGTGGGTGACTAGTGGTGGGCAGACAGTTAACAAGTGTAAGTATGGGAATGAAAAATATGCCATCTGACGTCCCTGAAACAGTGTTTAGAAGGGTTTGAGTGTCCCAGTGGAGCACGGCCTAGGACCCCTGTGGCCACACAGACTCCAATGTGGAAGCGGAGGACACTGGGCAGCCCTGCTCCCGCCGGTGCCAAGGGGGTGCCTGGGAGGGCACAGGGGGTTAGCTGGACTCGCAGGCCTAGCTGGGTGGGACCAGCATCAGCTCGGGCAGCTCAGGGCCCTGGTATCTGGCCCTGCAGGTCTGTCCAGTCCTGTTCGGGTCCTCACCCTCCCTCCACCCCAGGCTCTGCCTCACTGGAACCCTCTGCCCACTCCAGGGGGCTTCATGGCCCCTCCTCCCCGCTTCTCCCTCTGTCCAGTGCAGAGCTGCTCCCTTGGGCAGTGAACCCAGCTAGCCAGCCTGTCCTGCCTGCACCCCAGGTTCACCATGCCAAGGCCCACCTGCCCAGCCCAACCCAAGACTGCTTATTCTCCTTGGCGCACCCTTTCCTGCTGCCTGTCTTGCATTCATTCACGCATTCATTCACGCACCCAGTCCGTGGATAAACATTAATTGAGTCCCAATTATGTGCCAGGCATGTAGACCACATGCTCCCAGAGGAAGCTCTAAATCAGAAACAGTGTTTCCACATGTGACAGGAGACCCAGTTTCTACTCTGAGGAGCTCAGTCTGGTGGGAGAAGCAGACAAGAAAATATCCAACACCATCTATGAGATAACGTGCTGCAATGGTGCATAAGCGGCTGCCAGGGGGCAGGAGGGCACCTACCTCTGCCTGCGGTGGGGGTGGGAGGGGTGGCGTCCCAGTGAGTCTGAAGGATGAGGAGGAGTTACCCAGGCAAGGTGGGGCCGTCTGGGCAGGGGCCATGCAGACAGCAGCTGGCCAGAGGCAGAGCCCAACTGGGGAGCTGCTGGAACCCCCCTCCCGCAAGAGGCTCTCGCACCAAGGGAACCTTCTTCTGGGGGGGCCCCCAGCCCTACACTTTCACATGTTTGTTCCCAAACTCCGAGCCTCCCCAGGCCCCGCCCCCCTCCCTCGTGTCAGTCGCCCTAGAAACAGACATTGTCTCCGAGCCTTTCCTGTTTCTGGTCAGTGACCAAATCCTGCTGCATTTTCCCCAGAACTGCCCCCTCCTCTCCATCTGGCGGCACTGTGAGGGGCGTGGCCGAGGGCACCGCACCCCTCATCAGTGACTCCCCAGTTCCTGGTGACCAAATCTGAATTCCTCTGCCTGGTATGGAAGGTCCTCACACGTCCCACACCTGCCTCAGTCCTTCCCAACCGCCTGGGGTCTGCCCTCCCTGGCCCCTCGCCTGGAATGCCTTCTGGGTCTGTCCCCCTCCTGCTCTGCACCAGGCTTCCCACGGGATTGGGGTCCGCAGTGAGTGGCCCACAGCACAGCACCGGGCACTCCATCAGAAATCACCACGTGTCCAGTCTGTCTCCATATGTACTGATGTCACATTTCATGAGGGCAGAACAGGCTACAGGACGGGCGTCCCTGAATGCCTCATTCTGCTCGTCCTCACCCTCCGTCGCTGTCCCCACGTTTGCTGCTCTGACTCTGGCTCTCCATTCTGAGGGTCCCTGGGCGCCTGCCCTGGCCTCTGGGCCTGTCTGCCTTCACGGCTCGCTCGTCCCTGCCTGGGAGCCTCCGTGTGTGTCACTCCTCCCACACTGAACACCTTCCTCTCTGGGAATCCAGGTCTCTCATCTTCAAGCCATGAGAGGCATGTTCTGTAGGGCCTGCTGGGTGGATGTTCCCACGCCAGGGCCCTCCCAGGTGCCAGCTGCCCCTGACCCGTGCACTTCCTGAGAGCGCTCACTTTCCCCCTTGGTAGACACGTTTGCCCATGGCTTTCCCTTCCTTTTCGAGCACAGAACCCACATTCCCCAGAGAGGACCTGAGGGCTGTCTCCGCCTTGCAATTGCTCAGGAGACAGTCCTGGGCTGGGAGAGGGTGTGACACCTCCAGACCCGTCTGCCAGCCTGTGGCAAGTCGCTTCCTCCCTGGGCCTCAGTTTCCTCATCTGTTAGATGCTGCTAATAGCACCTGCCTCTTGAAAATGTCCTGTGGATGTAATGAGGTAGCGGACTGAACACGCTTTGCAAGCAAACACATTCCGGGAGCCCCAGCCGGCTCGCTGCCACTGCAGTCAGGAAGCGCCCCTAATCCTGGCTGCCTTTGTCGCCCCACAGGCCGGTGCCCGGCGGGCGAGCTGGAGACCTCCGCCCTGGTGACCGTGGTCCTGGGCCAGGACGCAAAGCTGCCGTGCTTCTACCGAGCGGACCCCGGCGAGCAGGTGGGGCAGGTGGCGTGGCTGCGCGTGGATGCGGGCGCCGCTGCCCGGGAGCTGGCGCTGCTGCACTCCGAGTACGGGCTGCACGTGAGCGCGGCCTACGAGGGCCGCGTGGAACGGCCGCCACTCCCACGGAGCCCCCAGGACGGCGCGGTGCTCCTGCGAAACGCCGTGCAGGCCGACGAAGGCGAGTACGAGTGCCGCGTGAGCACCTTCCCCGCCGGCAGCTTCGACGCGCGGCTCCGGCTGCGTGTGCTGGGTGAGTGGGGCCGGGGGCGCAGGCGGGCCCGCAGGGGTGGGGGCAAAGGCAGAGGCCGCGCAGCCGGTCCACCCGCACGCCCACGTGGTCCGGCCTCCGTGCCGCGCGCTCAGCCTCGCGGAGACCCCGTCTGCTCGGAAGTGCTCCGTTCCGCCCGCCGGAAACCTCCCTGTTGGTTTCTGTCGCTCTTCGGGCTCACATGGCCCAGGCTCGCGCCCTCCCAGTCGCGCTGTCTCCTCTTTGCTCCCTGAACCAGCCAGCACCCCTCCCCCTGTGTGCCCGCCCTGGCCCCTCACCTGCAGTGTCTTTCCAGCTCCCCCCATTCCTACCCACCGTGTGCACCAGGCCCTCCCACGTGACCCGGGTCCACAGTGACTGTCCCCCAACAGCACTGCAGAGCTGAGGCCCCGGCTCAGGCCCCACCCAGCTGTCCTCTTCTCCAAGCTACGCTTACTGGTCGTTACAACAGTTCTACCCAAGACACCCCTTCAAGGCCTCCCTCACATCTGGGCTTAATGCGGGGCCTGGATGTGGATGTGCAGGCCCGGTTGTTAACGAGGGTGGGGTGGGGGGCGGGCGTAGTATCCTTCGGAGGCCACAGCTGCCCTTTAAACCACTTTGCACTCAGGGCACTTGTGGTCAAGCTGAGTCCTTTCCATTCTATGCTTGGGCTGTTCATGTTGTGACGATGAAAGTAAAGGCCTTTATAGTTTAAAGGTAAAGGCCTTTTATCCACATGGTGGTTAGTGACACCGGGACGTGATAGAAAAATGTGACTGTGAGTCTAGGCTTCAGTGACCAGAGCCTGTTTCCTCCCCTATGAAATGGGGATGATAATATCTATCTACCCCGATGGTGTGTTGACAGGATGGTGTGAGGTAACTTTGTAAAGTGTCAGCATAATACTTGGACATAGTAAGTGCTTAATTAATGGTACCTATTATTATTATATATGTTATCTAGGTAGTTTTAAAATTTCTTTGTTTTCATTAAAAAATGACCCATGCTATTGTAAAAAATTCAAACAATGGGCAAAAATACAGTCAGATGAAATTCTACCACCCATCTGCTGTTTTTTCTTGGTGAAATAACAGAAGAAAAAGGGGCCTGAAACTTGCACACGTGCAAGACTGGCCTGGGGTGGGGTCTCCTGGGCAAGGTTGTGCAGACCGTGACCCCCTCCCCCATTCGCAGTGCCTCCCCTGCCCTCACTGAATCCCGGGCCTGCGCTAGAAGAGGGCCAGGGGCTGACACTGGCCGCCTCCTGCACAGCAGAGGGCAGCCCGGCCCCCAACGTGACCTGGGACACAGAGGTCAAAGGCACAACTTCCAGCCGCTCCTCCAAGCACTCCCGCTCAGCTGCTGTCACGTCAGAGTTCCACCTGGTGCCCAGCCGCAGCATGAATGGGCAGCCACTTACCTGCGTGGTGTCCCACCCTGGCCTGCTGCAGGACCAGAGGATCACTCACACCCTCCAAGTGGCCTGTGAGTACTTGGATCAGCATTGATGATGTGCTGACAGACCCTGAACCACACCAGTCTGGCCAGCCTGGGTCCTGTGCCATGTCGTGTGGCTGAGAGAGCGCTAGCCCGAAGGTAGAAGACTTGGAGCCCACCCCAGATGACCTTGACAAATCATTTAGACCTCTCTGAGAACCTTTAGTGTCCTCCTCTTTACAGAGGACATTGCCTGGCTTCACAATGTTGTTGGGGACATGTGCAGACATGGAGCCAAAAGCACTTTGTGAAACAGTTTAGGGCTTAGGGATGGACAGACGGGACAAGCCTGGGTTCTGCTGCTCACCGCTGTCATCCAGTCTCGTCAGGGATCCTGCCTCCATTAGCAGTGTGGATGACCCCACCCACTTGGCAGGGTCCCAAGGGGATCCAAACAGGACTGCCCAGCATCCTGCACAGTGCTCAGGGGAAGCAGACGTCTCTCCAGCCGTAGGTTTTGACCCTGTGGTCGGGGGGTGGGGGGTGGGGTAGGGCTGTTTTCTGCTCAGACTAACCCAGCACTTGGCAGAAAGTAGATCCTCCACAAATGCTTGTTACAGAAACGAATGAAGTAGTAGGACTGTTTAGCCTTTGAAGGACCAGAGAGCCTCATGGAGCACCTGCTCTGTGCTGGCACTACCTAGCATCATGGGGACTCAGGAGACGTGACCCGTTGGCACGCGGGGGCACTAAGAGGCTCCTTGTACTGGTTAACGAGTGTGGCCTCCCTGAGCTTAGGGAGGGGCCGTGTGGCCTGGAGAGGACAGGGGACAGTCCCAGGCCGGGGAAGGGGGGGTAGTGGGTGGGGCCATTTGAGGGTCACAGGCCTCATTCCCATGTTTTCTCTTCGCACCTTCTGTTCCAGTCCTCGCTGAGGCCTCTGTGAGGGGTCTTGAAGACCAGAAGCTATGGCAGGTTGGCAGAGAAGGGGCTGCACTCAGGTGCCTGAGTGAAGGGCAGCCCCCCCCCTCCTACAACTGGACACGGTGAGGGCCGCTCGGGGTCAGGGCCCTTCCCTGTAAGGCCAGCATGTACTTGTTATGGGCTGGGGCGATACATTCTGAAACCCAAATAAATTGGGGTACATGTTCCAACCAATATAAGAGCACGCATGGTCAGCAAACACTCTCTCTCGCACCCAGGAGTCTAGGGTACATAGTCATTGGGGGGTGTAAGCCAGTAAGACCTTGGCTTTTTTTCTTACTTTTAAACAATGAAATATAATGCAATATTTAAATATCAATATTTTATATACTTATGTAAGTCCCTAAAGTGGATAAGACAAAAGATACGGGCGATTGTAACTGCTTCTAACCAACTCCTGTGTAAGCACCACCTTAGGGCTAGCACCTCAGAGGCGCCACCTTTTCCCAGGGTCTGTGGTGTCCAGAGTTAGGGTGGTGCCAGGTGCACACGTCTGTGAGCCCAGGGCAGGCGCGTGGCCTTGCGCTCTGCACGCCTCTGAGCCCAGGCAGGCTTCAAGTGTCCTGTTGTGCGGACTTTATATCACGTGTTCCTGGTACCCGGTGCCGGGTGACGTGATGCCCGTGGGAGCATCGGGATGGCACGCGTGTGTGGGGTGCCTGGGTCAGGCTGGGCGGCAGGGAGAAGGGGGCCTCTGCCTAGACCTGCCTGGGGCAGGGTGGGACACTGTGGGAACAGCCTGCGGCTCTGGGTGACGTCATGGAGGCGGGAGGTGGAGAGCGGCCTGGGCATGTTGGGCGGTGGCACTCATCAGCTTCGCTGCCCTCCAGGCTGGACGGGCCTCTGCCGAGCGGGGTGCGAGCGGACGGGGACACCCTGGGCTTTCCCCCGCTGACCACTGAGCACAGCGGCGTCTACATCTGCCATGTCAGCAATGAGCTGTCCTCGAGGGACTCTCAGGTCACTGTGGAGGTTCTTGGTAAGCACCTGGGCAGACTGGTGGGGACCACGGGAGCCGCACCATGAATGGGGAGGGGCAGGCCTGCCAGTCGGGGTGCCCCCCCCCCCCCCGCCGTGCTGCGGTGCCTCACACAGCGGCCCATGTCCTCAGGCCCCGACGAGGCCCCAGTGAGGCAGGTGGACCTGGTGTCGGCCTCTGTGCTGGTGGTGGGGATCATCGCAGCGCTCCTGCTCGGCCTCCTGGTGGCAGTGGTGCTGCTGATGGCCCGGTACCATCGGCGCAAGACCCAGCAGATGACGCAGAAATAGTGAGTGCAAGCCGCTCTGCTCCCTGACGGAGGGCAGGGCGAGCAGGAGGTGGGCCGGGACCTAGGACTAGGGAGCTTGGGGACCGGAGGTGGGTGGAGCCCCTGAGAGGGGAGGCGCTTGGGGCCTGTCCCCGGCTGGATGAGGACAGCCACACCACCTGCCTGAGGGTCGGACCCATTTGCCTGGATGTCACTAAGTACAGACACTTGCATGCAACACGCTCGCTCTGCAGCCACACTGCTACCTGCGGCCGCTGGCTCACGCGTGCAGGAGAACACAGCACCCACACCTGCAGCCCCATCTCACTGGCTCGTGGTGGGGGAGGAGGCGCCACCCTCAGCTTGTGACCAGGGGTGTCTTTCCCAGTGAGGAGGAGCTGACCCTGACCAGGGAGAACTCCATCCGGAGGCTGCATTCCCACCGCTCAGACCCCAGGAGCCAGGTGTGTGTCGGGGGCCCTCTGCTGCCCAGGAGCACAGCCCTCCCCAGAGCTGGGGGGCATTTTGGGGGAGCAAGCAGAGCTACTGTGCGTCTGCTGGGCTCCCCTGGGAAGCCACTGTCAGGGTCAGCACTGGTTCCATGGTGGGTAGCAGTGGGGGGGGGGCGGGGGGGGGCGTGGAACAAGGGTGTTTGTACTGAGGACGAGGACGAAGTGGACTGTGGGGCTGGGGGAGAGGGAGGTGGCTGGAGGGGGGCAGGTGAGAGGGGGAGCCCGGCTCTGACTTCTACCCCATGTCCGGGCCTTGCAGCCGGAGGAGAGTGTAGGGCTGAGAGCCGAGGGCCACCCTGATAGTCTCAAGGACAACAGTAGCTGCTCTGTGATGGTGAGCCCCCCACCCACCCATCCCACCCCTGGCCCCACTCCTCAGGCAGCCCCCTGCACCCCTGGTCCCATCCCCCTTCCCGATGCCCAGGGCTCCTGGCCCATCCCTGAGCCCCGCACCTCTGACCCCACGTGCCCCACCAGCCCCTCAGGCCTGGCTGCCTGCTTTGTCCCTGACACACTGTCTGCCCTTGGCCTCCAGAGTGAAGAGCCAGAGGGCCGGAGTTACTCCACGCTGACCACTGTGAGGGAGATAGAGACACAGACGGAGCTGCTGTGTCCGGGCTCTGGGCGGGCCGAGGAGGAGGAAGGCCGGGACGAAGGCATCAAACAGGCCATGAGCCACTTCGTGCAGGAGAACGGGACACTGCGGGCCAAACCCACCAGCAATGGCATCTACATCAACGGGCGGGGCCACCTGGTCTGACCAGGCCCCACACGCGGCGCCCGCTCTGCTGGCAGGGGCACCTCGGGGCCCCAAAACACCCACTTCTTCAGGAAGGTGCTCCCACCCCACTGACTGCTTGTCCTCTCCGTCCAGCCCTTGTGTTCCATGACCTGAGGGAGAGCTGAGTCCCACCCCTGTGTGTGTGTGTGTGTGTGTGTGTGTGTGTGAGTGTTGGCTGATTGCGTGTGCGGGGACGGGCGACTGTGTGTGGCTTGCATCGTACTGTCGTGTCGGAGTCCAGGTGACCGGTCTGTGTGTGCCCCAGGATTCAGGCAGCTGCCTGGGGACGGCCAACTGGTCGCTGGTGTGCTCTGTGACTCACACCTGCCTCCGGATGCAGCGTTTCCCTCAGACCCCAGAGCAGTATTAAGGAGCCAGAGGATGGAGGCAACACGTGGAGGCTGCGGGCACGGCCAGGTGTGCGGGCGCAGCTGGAGCTGCAGTCTGGCGTCCTGGGTGGGGGAGCGGGCTCCCACCACCTGGGAGCCAAGGGGCGAGTGCGAGGCAGTGTCCTGGGGGTCTGCCGGACGTTCCCACTGCTTAAGAAGGAGCCCTCTGCCCTCCAGCCTGGAGCCTGCTGCTCATACGGACTTTCTGTGAATACACCTGCCCAGGGGCTTCTGGAAGGACCACTGCTACGAACCCGCTAATAAGAGAAGAGACGACGCGCATGAATGTTTGTTAGTACGAGGGTGGCTCACAGTGAGGCCAATTGACACAGGAATTCAGCAAGCTAGCCAGTGCTCAGACCCCACCCTAGGGGGTTACTTTCTGTGGCTCTGAAATGTGCTCCTTCTAAAGCATCTTAACCTAGGCGGCCTCATGGGGGAGCCTGCAGTGACTGGCTTGGGGGGACAGACTATGGTCCTCGGCCCTCTCGGCCCCCAGCTCGTCCCCTGGCCTCCTGTCTCTTCTTAGCTGTGTACACAGTTGTTTGTGGTCCCTTGGGGGGGTTGTTGGGACTTGGTGACAGGACACCTGGTTCGGTTGTGGTGCAAGGGAGAGAGAGTAGTGGGGGTTCTGGTGAAGGAGCTGCTGGAGACAAGGGTGACCCCATTTTCCCAGGGGTCTTGAGGCCACTGATTCAGGGCTTTTCTGGCAGCCTCTCTGGGTGGAGGCTGGGGTTAGATAGAGTCTGTTTCTGTCCGGTCCAGCCAAACACTCTTAGTCGGAATACCTAGATTTGTGCCCAAACCCTGCTTGGCCTGGAATGTGCTTGATTTCTGGACCACAGGAGAGACTCCCAGCTCCTGCTCCCCAGCCAGCCCTGGTATTTGGGTTTGGACCCCCCATATGTACATTCTGTATAAATATATGCGTATCTGTACATAAAATGATACTCTGTTTTTAAATAAACAGCTAGAACATGTTCTGTCTGGCTCCCATCTGGCACTTTGAGCTGTGTCAGCCCTGAACCTCTGTCCCCTGTGTCAGCCCCACCCTCCCTGTGGTCCCAGTGAAGGGAGGCCTAGCAGCCTGTGGCCCAGAGGGAAGGGGCGAGACACAGCCTCCATGAGTCCGGCAGCCATTGTGCGAGTCCCCAGATGGGACAATGAAGCTCAGAGCCCCTCCATGACAGGCAGCACCCTGGTTTGCAGTGTTGGGATGTGTGTCACACTTGAGCCCCCCGCCACAGGCCTGGAGGTAGGCAGCAGTGGGCACATGGTGCAAAGAAACAGAGCCTCTCACAAGACCCACAGAACGAACGTTCAAGGTGGAAGGACTTGAAGATGGGCTCACCCAACTGCTTCACTTTCATATGTGAAGAAACTGCGGCTCTGTGACGTCCTGGGACTTGACTGGGGTGACAGGCCGGCCAGGGCAGCCCTGTGTTGCCTCACTTCTGGGCCAGTCTCAGGTCTCCACCTTGAACCCCAGAATTCTGGTCTTCAGGGGTGTCAGTCACCTGCCCCTGCCCAGGGTGCCAGCACACACCCCAAGGCTCTGACATCACCTCCCCTCGACCAATGAGAGAAGTCCCAGCATGGGTGAGGACCTGAATGTCAGCTGCCCCCCGCCCCCAGCCTGTGTGGTTGCAAAGATGCTCTAACAGGAAGCGGGTTTGAGGAGCTGCAGGGCTTCCTGCCCCTCGGGCTGTGCGGGGCCAGAAAGGCAAGTGCCAGGTCGCCACGAGACACAGCTTCTTGCCAGGGGTGGCAGCTTCCTCTTCCACAGCCACTTCCGTGCGGCCAGGGCCCCAGAGGCAGGAGTTGCTACCCGTTGCCAGGCCACTCTCCACCCCTAGTTGGGAGCCCTGCCCCCTGGGGCCGTGCCAAGCCCAGAGCCTGGCTTGGGATCCCATGGGGGACTGGTAGAGGGCAAAGGTCCTGGGGGACAGAGGTGGCCGGGCCAGAGCCCTGGGGCTCCAGCCATGAAGTCGCGGCAGAAAGGCAAGAAGAAAGGCAGCTCGAAGGAGCGGGTGTTCGGGTGTGACCTACAGGAGCACCTCCAGCACTCAGGCCAGGAGGGTAAGGCGCCCCTCAGAGCTGCGGGTGGGAGGGCGCGGGCCCCTCAGCTGCAGCGGGGGCAGGGGGCACAGAGCTTTTCCCGCCCCATTGCATCTGAGGGCATAAGCACCTCCAGGTGCCCATGGGGAAGGGGCAATGGCTTGGGGTTGCCACCCAGGAGCTAAGGCAGGAAATGTGCTCAGTGAGGAGGGCAGGGCCGCTCCTCTGTGACTGCCTGGAGGGAACGGGGAGGCCGAGGGTGGATGGAGAGACAGAAACCCAGAACAGGTAGGAGAGTCAGAGGGGATGCCCACTGGGGACAGGGGAAGGAGGCTGAGGGCATGGGCTCAGGAGATGGCTGGCAGAAGGGCCAATCCATGGTCCTTGGGTGGAAGGGGACAGAAGGGCCCCAGGAGTGTCCAGGGACCAGGTTAAGGGGCTCAGGCCCCTCCGCCACCACCAGTGAGGGCGCAGGGTGGGGACAGCCCCTCCCCATTCTCCGTGATTCCCTGTGTCCCTGCACAAAGGAGAAGCTGTTTCAAAGTGGAGGGCAAGGGGAGAGGCTAATGAAATGGGGGCGCCAGGAGAGTAGGAGATGGCTTGAGGCCTGGGTTGAAGATGGGGTAGGTAGGGGGTCACAGGAGGGTGGTGAGGGGCTGTTAGTGGAGCTGGCCCGGCTTCCTCCCTGGGTGGCCTCCGGAGGGGGCTCGGAAATCAGCAGGACCAGGGTCAACATCTGCTCTGTCTGTGCTTGGCATGGAGTAAGTAGCCACTCAAAAACACTTCTTGATTTGATTTGAAATTGAACGCAGGTATCCTGGCCCAGCCCTGCTTGTCTTGGGCACGCCGATCTTGTCCCAGAGAAGGGCCCAGTCTTCCCCCACCCCCACCGCACCCCAATCTGTCATTTCCTCTTTGTCTTCTGCTCTGCTCTGGGCTGTGGCGCCTGCAGTGGAGGGGGTGATGGTGGTTCCCGGCTCACTTCCTGCTCGTAAGCCCCGCCCTGTATCCCCAGACACCTTCTTCCCCTTTTCTCCCTCCAACAGGCCCCCATCCCTACTGGCCTTGGTTAAGGGAAAGCCCGGGCCCCAAGGAAGAGTGTTGAACAGCTGAAGCAACTTCTGGGTGCCTTGCTCTTCTGAAAGGGCAAAGCCCAGCCGCCGCAGCAGGGCGACCCTTCACAGGGGGCTCCCCTTGAGAGTGAAGACCCCTGGCCAAGGGCACATGGCTTCACTGGGGCTGATGTTCTCCTCCCAGCTCTCTGCAAACCAGGGGCAGCCTCTTCTGGAGTGCTGCCCTTCCCCGCGGCCTGCCCTCTGAGCTCATGCTGAAACACTGAGCCCACATCCAGCACAGACCCACTCCTTGCCCTTCCTGGCATCTGTCTGCACCCCCCCCACCCCGCCCCCCGCGTGTCAGGGGCATGTTCTCTGCGCAGGATAGACATCTGGTTGTCTGGCCCTGATCCCAGCGCATCCCAGGGGGAAACATGCACCTGCTGCCCTCCCAGGGTTACGGTAACGGTGGGCACTGGAGCCCCGTGACAGTCCTGTCCCCTCCCCCAGCTCCTCCTGACACAGACAGGTGGAAAGTGGAAGGACAGAGAGAGGCTGGCAACAGCTTCTCTCTAACCTAAGACCCAGCAGAAATGAAAGTCCTGGCCAGAGCTCTGTTGCTGGCTCGCTTACGCTCTGGTCATCTTGGTCCCCCATCCTCACACCCCGGCTCCAGCTCAACATCTTCTCCCAGCTTTGCCTCAGCGACTCCCGTCCGTCCCACATCCCACATGTATTGCGTCCTTCCTTTTCCTAATCTTATCTCTTTTGAATACCTTGTTCATACTTCTGATTCTCCAGGTCTCTAAGCTTCAGGCCCTCTTCCCTGAGCTGCCCCCGTTTCTGTGATGTCTCTCTCTACCCCTTTGACTCTGCCACCCCAACCCTGTCTCTAACCAGTGTTTCTGACCCCAACTCTCTGATCTCTCGAGCTCCTTGTCCCCCCGCCCCGCCCTCTGACCCTGTTATCTCTTCCCCCATCTCCTTGACCCATTTCCTCAGTGGCTCCATTCAAATGCGTTCCTCAGTCTCCTCTGGAGGTTCAAAGTCAACAGAGAGGGACATTGTGGGCATTGTGGGGAAGATCTACTTGGCTTGGTTGCAATTGATGTGAAAAGGACCTAGGGTTTAGGTGACAGCAAACTACTTGTGAGTCACATGGTGGCTAAGAGTTGGTGTAGCATTAGGCACCCAGGACTGGAGCAGCAGTTCAAACAAGGAGGGCCACCCCCTCTCTGCATTTGGTGCTGGGTCCTCAGGTCAGGGGTGCCCTTGCAAAGGGCACATGTCTTGAAGGGATAGATGGTGAACTGTAGGGTCAGGACTAAGGTGAGGCAAGAGAGGTGGCTGGGGTGCAAAATTCAAGGAAGCTCTCCCCCTTAGGCTGTGCACCTGCCCCAGTGCCCCTCCGAAGGAGGTATGCACGCTCAAGTGTGCATGTGCTTGCTCATCCCTAAGTGTGAATTCTTCCTTAACGTTTGCATCCTTGGTGCCTTTCTCGTGTTACCCAAGTCCTGGCTCTGGAGTGCAGGAGGACAAAGGGTGTGGACACCAGGTTGTACGAGCCAGATTTGAAATAGTGGTTGATGGATTGATTATTTCCTCCATTCCATGTTTCTATCTTAATTCCACAAAGAACTTGGGATAGATGACTTCCAGAACCCAAAACTTTACAAAAAGAGTAAATGACTGAATGAACTGGGTTGACAGGAGAACTAGAGGAAGGGTAAGATCAGGACCCAGAAATGCATATCAGCGGGTTCTGTATGGTTCCTGGCCAGGGGCTCTGAGCTTCCCGGTGAGGTTAGCACAACTGGGTGGAAGACTCAATGGCCGGAAAAGAAAAACAGGTGGCTTAGGAGAAACGCAGCTTTTTCTGACACTGAGGTGTGAGAAGGGTGACTCTGGTAACTGTCAGTTAATAGGATTCAACATTTCATCCTAGGCAATATTCTGTATTAAGTCTGCAATGACGTCACCAACCCCCAGTGTAATTGGTTACATCACTGAGTCATTTAGTAGCTATTTATTGAGCACATGCTCTGTGTCAGCACTGTGCTAGGTGCTGGGGAGGGTGTTAGGGTGTTACTATTTGTCCAAAGGTATAGATACAAAAGAAACTAATCATAACAAAGGGCAATGAGTACTATGACGCAGATGTAAACAAAGGACTGTGGGAGCCCCCACACCCGCAGTCAGAGGTGGGGACAATTCCAGGCAAGGGCAGAGTAACACGAGCCATGCTCCTGAGGCTTCTTCATAGACCAGCAAAGGGCTGGATGGGACGACTTGTTGGGGCTGTGGCTGGAACGGCAGCTTGGACCTGGTTTGTGAAGGGTCTTCTAGATCATGCTGAGGAGATGATATTTTATTTCATATCTGAAAGGTAAGCAGTGAAGCTTGAGGTGGAGCAGAGTGTAAGACAAAAGCTTGAAAGCAGGGACGTGCTTTGGAAAGAGCTATGTGGCCTTTTGGAGATGGGGTTCCTTACATGGTTTTGAGAGTTTCCCACATGGGAGGCACCATATCTGATTATACAAGGACTATCTAGATGGGCCACATTTAGCTCCTGTCCTGAGGGAGACTACAGTCTAGCAACAGAGGAGGGGTTAGGGGTTGGGACCCATAATCTGCTTTTCGAGCTCTCCGAGTTGTATTCTGGCTCTAACTGGGTGATACTGGTCACTCAGACCTGTTATCCTCAGTTTTCCTGTCTGCAAAATGGGGGCTAGGTACATAATGCACAGTGCTTGGCACACAGGCGCTTCTCTCCTAAATCGACCTCGTTGAAGGTTGTTACTATTCTGTGTACTTTCCCAGGACTGAACTAACATCCACGCACTTGCTTACCGGACAGGGTATCTCACGGCTCTCTGCTCAGCCCTGCTCCATAGCGGGTGGGACAGCTCATGCTCTGTTACCTTATGTAGAGTGCTATATAGATGCACTTTTAGCACCAGTCCTCACCCAGAGTCCCCTTCCAACAAGATTGCTGCCCCTGCAAAGATTCCAGAGTAGCAGCTAGGAATCACAGAAATGTTTTCAGCTCAACAGTGCCAATCGTTCTAATAGAAAAGGAGAATCTGCAGCAGTGAGACCTCTCGCGGGTGGGGCTGGGGTGGGGGGTGGGGGGGGTACCCTGAGACTGCAGATCCCACAGGCAGAGGATGGAGCTGATGTCCCCTGAGAATCTCTGACAAGCTTCTCTTCTGTGGGCTCTGCTCTCAGTGTCCCCCACCCCCCTTCCCCAATGCTTTCATTCCTCAGGCCCCTGCCATCTCTGACCCCCAGACCTGATTTTTTTCCTCTGCTCCTGTGTGTCCCCAGTGCCCCAGGTGCTGAAGAGCTGTGCAGAGTTTGTGGAGGAGCACGGAGTGGTGGATGGCATCTACCGCCTCTCAGGGGTCTCCTCCAACATCCAGAAGCTCCGGTGAGTCAGGCAGTGCGGGGCGGGCTGTGGCCATGAGCAGGGAGGGACAAAGATGCTAGGACCGGCTAAGGGAGGGGCTCCAAAGTGTGCTCAGGGAAGGCTGAGACCATGCACCCCATGTCCCAGGCCAGCGCATGCGCGCGCACAACACCCCTCCACTCCCACATATACCCACCCAGCTTTTAAAAAAATTAGATGTAATTCTCACACCATAAAATTCGCCGTTAAAAAATGTACAATTCAGTGCCTTTTAGTATATTCACAGGTATGCATCCATCACCGCCATCTAATTCCAGGCCATTGCGTCACCCTGGAAAGAAACCCTATCCCCATCAGCAGTCACCCCCGCACTCTCCCGCCCAGCCCCTGACACCACTAGCCGGCTTGTCTCTATGGATTTTCCTGGACATTTCCCACACGTGGAATCAGACAACTGTGACCTGTGTCTGGCTTTTTCACTTAGTATGTTTTCAAGGTTCATGCATGTTGTCGCGTGTACCGGTGCTTCACTTCTTTTCATGGCTTCAGCATGTTTGGCTTATCCATTCTTCAGTTAATGGCCACCTGGGTTGTTTCCGCCTTTTGGGCATCACGAATACATCCATGGACATGTGCTTTCATCCTCTGAGTATTTACACAGGGGTTGCTGGGTCATATGGAAACTCTACGCTGAACTCAAAGGAACGGCCACATTTTCCATAGCAGTTTCTTCATTTTACGTTCCTACCAGCAGTGTCTGAGGATTCCACTTTCTCCACATCCCTGCCAACACTTGTTACTCTGTGTCTTTTTTTATCACAGCCACCTTAGTGGGTGTGAAGTGACAGTTCATCTGCACTTGCGTCGCCCTAGTAGCTAGGGGAGTACTGGGCATCTTCTCGTGAGCTTGTTGGCTATTTGCGTATCTTCTTTGGAGAAATGTCTATTCAAATACTTTGTCCATTTTTTAATTGGGTCATTCATCTCTTTTGAATTGTAAGAGTTTTTTTATATTCTGGATATTAGACACTGATCAAATCTATGAGTTCCAAATACTTTCTTCCATTCCGTGGGTGGGCTTTACTTTCTTGACAATGTCCTTTGACATACAACAGCTGTAATTTTGATGTTTAATTTATTTTTTCTTTGGTTACTTGTGCTTTTCATGTCAACGTTGCCTAAAGCAAGGTTATGAAGGTTTACACTTATGTGTCCTTCTAAGAGTTACACTCACCCACTGCACAGGTGCCCAGGACATATTTAGGTGCATCCCCCACTCCCATTGACCCCTACACTGCCACTCACACCTGCAGCTGCAGCCCTCATGGGGGTCCCCGTGCATGTGCAAATCCATCGCTCCCTCACATCGCTCTGCATGCAACACACGCCCCGTGGCTCCCCACCCGCTCGCCACTCCTGAGCGCCCTGCTCCTCCCCAGGCAGGAGTTCGAGGCCGAGCGGAAGCCAGACCTGCGGCGGGATGTGTACCTGCAGGACATCCACTGCGTGTCGTCGCTGTGCAAGGCCTACTTCCGCGAGCTGCCTGACCCCCTGCTCACCTACCGGCTCTATGACAAGTTTGCTGTGAGTTCAGCGGCTGGGGTGGCTGTTCTGGTGTTGACACCCCAGGTGTGTTCAGTGCCACACAGAGTCCCGATGACCCTGAATGACAGGGACGCATCACTGGGGAAGAGTCCTCCCCTGAATCTCCTGTCCCTTTCCTGTGCCCTCCCTGCCACTCCCCTTCATCCTTCCTGCCTTTCCTAAGGCCTGTGGGCCACACACAGGGGTGACACTGGGGTGGAGTAGGGACCAGGGGTCAGAGCTGGAAGGCCCTCAGAAGTCACCTGGACCAGCTCGGTCCAGGTCCCCTATCTTTAAGAGAATGAGAACCCTTTTTAGAACCCTCCATGAACGGCTTGTATGTTGACCATCTGTTAGCAAATGTGACAAAAATACTATCCTGAATGAACATTTAAAACATGTTGCACTTTATCGAGCATGGCAGCATTTGGAGATCTGACCACAGTGGCAGCTGTTCGCCCACATGGCTAACCTGGGTGGGCGTGGCCTCTTGGGCACCTTGGAGTAACCATGCCCCTGGGCACGCATGGTGGGGGGCATGGCTGTAGTCCAGTGCCAGAGAGTTATCCACAGAGGACTGCGGCAGAGGGTGGCAGTGAGCTGCTCAAGGTCACAGAGCTATCAGTGGCACAGCCCTGTGGGCAGGTCCTGTGGGCCCCAGATCTGAGCTGTCTGCTGCCAGTGTGTCATTTCATCTGGGGCAGGGACACTGGGGGCTACAGCAAGGCTGTGGGCAGTAGGCAGGGCCAGTGCTGGGGCACTGACTCCAGCTTCTGGAACCGTCCCTGACCAGGAGGCTGTGGCAGTGCAGCTGGAGCCCGAGCGCTTGGTCAAGATCCTAGAGGTGCTTCGGGAACTCCCCGTCCCAAACTACAGGTGTGTGCGGCCCCCCGCCCCATCCCGACGTCCCCACACAGCCCAGGTGTGCTGCCCACCAGGGGCCGGCTCCCAGGCACCAGCCCTGCTCCTGCCCTGTGTGACCCCTGCCCCGTGGTGCCCTCTCTACAGGACCCTGGAGTTCCTCATGCGTCATCTGGTGCACATGGCGTCCTTCAGCGCCCAGACCAACATGCACTCACGCAACCTGGCCATCGTGTGGGCCCCCAACCTGCTGAGGTGGGCAGCGTGTGGGCAGCCTGGGGGACCCGGCAGGGCCTGGCCACCAGGAGGCGGCCCAAGGAGGGCTGTGGCTGTGTGGGGGCCCTGGCGAAGGCAGTGGGAGTCCCCTGGAGCCCAGTGAGTCACACTGAGAGGGCTGGTGCTCATCCCTTAGCCCCGCTGTGAGCTTGAGTAAAGAGAGTCCCTAAGGGCAGCGTCTCTGTTTCCTTACAGTGTCACTTAACAGTTCCTTACAGAGCTCAGGGGCTGGAACAGGACAGGTCCTTGCTGTTTGTTGTGCAAATGTCTTGCAGTCTGTTGGAGAACTGGCCTGCATATCAGTCCTTATGGTGCAAGGCAGATTGTGAGAAATCCTGATATTATAAACAAGGCACCCCGGCGTGCAAGGGAAGTAGAAATTAATTGAGAAGAGGGTGTCCAAGAAAGCTTCCTGGAGGAAGCGGCCTTTGGGACTTGACTCATGCCTCTGGTTTAAGAGGTGGAGATGGCTTTAAGGGCACGCAGGGGAAAGGGCATGAAGTGTTTGTAGGGAGAATTAGGATTAAGGACGTGCGGCAGGGCTGGGGGGAATAATGCCACATCTGCCCAGGTCTAAAGACATAGAGGCTTCAGGCTTCAACGGGACGGCGGCCTTCATGGAGGTGCGTGTGCAGTCCATTGTCGTCGAGTTCATCCTCACGCACGTGAACCAGCTCTTTGGGGGCGCTGCCCTCTTGGGTGAGTGTCCTTCCTGCCATATCACCACTTCTGTCTGGGAGTCGAATCAGAGCCATAGAGAGCCTCAAAGATGCCCTAGTTCAGTCTGCCCATTTTGCAGATGAGGAAACAGAGCCTCAGAGGGAGATGGAGCTTAAGGCCACATGGAGAGACAATGGTACAGTCAGGGCTGCAGCAGGACTGCTCCCGGTCCAGGGCACAGCTTGACCTCTTAATTGCCGTCCTGGCTCTCAAGCTGGTGACAGCTCATTGTCACCCCCAGACCACCAGACCAGTGTCCTGGGATCTCCGGGCCCTCTGTCACAGAAAGCTCACGCCCTTTTGAGGGGCCAGACAGGGGCGGCCGGGTATATCCGCAGCCTGTAGTTGGTGAGCAACGAGGAGCTGGCTGCCTGAAGCCCTGTGTAGTCTCTGTTCTTGGCCGGTCAATCCCTCTTCTTTTTCGAGGTGGTGAGATGGACAGTGGATGGCGGTCACTTCCAGGGTCCCGGGCGTCGGGGAGCCCTGAGGACTTTATGCCCAGGTCTCTGCCCTACCAGCTGCCGAGCGTGCTACAGGCTGGTGACGGGCCCCCACAGATACGGCCCTACCACACTATCATTGAGATTACCGAGCACAAGTAAGGCCTCCTTCCTGGACCCTCCTCCCCGCTCTGATGGCCAGGCGCCAACCCGTGATTTCTCCATCCCCTCCAGGAGGAAAGGGTCTTTGAAGGTCAGGAAATGGAGATCGATCTTCAATCTGGGTCGCTCTGGCAATGAGACCAAGCGTAAACTTCCACGGGGGGCTGAGGACAGGGGTAAGTCTGGGGAGACGTAGGGAGAGCCGCACCGTGGTGTGCCAGGCCCTGGCTCTAAGCTCATCCCTGTCTTGCAGATGACAAATCCGATAAGGGGACGCTGCGGCCAGCCAAGAGCATGGACTCCCTGAGTGCTGCAGCTGGGGCCAGTGATGGTGAGTATAGGTGTGCACTCCTACGTGTGTGTGCGCGTGTGTGCATGTATATGCGTGTGTGTGTGTGTGCTGTGTTATTCACAGCATGGGCCTGTGAGCGCCTGTGTGGAAGCGTGTCTGTGAGTGAATCTGTAAGGGAATAACAGTACTATGAACAAGATCACTGTGAATGTGTGTGTGTATACATGTGGCCAAGTGTGCTCACTAACTTAAAAACTAAGTAACGATATATACCAGGCACCTTGCCAGATGCTAGGTTTGCAGTGGTGACTTCATCGCCCCCTCTGTGGGTATGTCACATGCGTACAAGCAGGGACAGAGTGGTGTGTGCATGACAACCAGTGACTGTATCTTCAGGCGGGGAAGGGGTTCCTAGGTATGTGCAGGCAGGCGGCCTTGGACCTGCTGGCCATGGGGTACATGTTGGAGTGGCCAGGGGGCTGGGGGTGTGCCTGAGGTGTGCAGGTCCCCTGCAGCTGAGGCTGTTGCCCACATCTGTCCCCTCCGCAGAGCCAGAGGGGCTGGTGGGACCCAGCAGCCTCCGGCCAACCCCGCTGCTGCCCGAGTGCTTAGAGGGTGACTCTGTGGAGGCAGCAGACGGTGAGCCGGATCCTGACGCAGAGGCCCTGGGCAGCACCAACTCTGAGCCTGGCACGCCGCGAGCTGGGCGGTCAACGATCCGTGCTGGGGGCAGCAGCCGTGCCGAGCGCTGCGCTGGTGTCCACATCTCAGACCCCTACAATGTCAACCTCCCACTACACATCACCTCCATCCTCAGCATGCCCCCAAACATCATCTCCAACGTCTCCTTGGCCAGGCTCACCCGCGGCCTGGAGTGCCCTGCCCTGCAGCTCCGGCCAAGCCCTGCCTCTGGCCCTGGCCCTGGCCCCGGCCTTGGCCCTGGGCCCCCAGGTGAGGACCCAGGGGCTGCCCAGGACTGAGAGAGGGGATTAGAACTCCAGGCGGAGCTCTGATGTTGGGGACATTAGAAGCTGCATACCTTGGGCATTGGGTGGGTAACCTCAGGTACCTCCCTGGTTTAAGGCTGGGGGATCCAGTGATATTATGTATGAACTTGTGTGAAACCCACAGAGAGGGGACCTGTCATATACCCAAGGGTGGGGTCTGTGCCAGGGTCACCAAGTCCCACGTGCACTACATCATGGGAATAATGGCCATTGCATTAACGCTGCCAGCTGACAATTATCAAGGGCTTATCACACACAAGTGCTGAGCTAAGGGCTTCACAGGTATGAGCTTATTTCGTTTTCTCATAACCTGTGACAGAGTTGGTGTTATTGTCTTGTTACAGCAGCAGGACCTACCTAGGCTTAGGTTAAGCAATTCGTTACCGATTTAGGTAGGAGGTGGCAAGGCTGGGGTCTGACCTCTGCTCTGACTCCACTTCCTCACGTGTCACTGGTGACACGTGCTGGGGCAGCGGGTAAGGACGTGGGCCGTGGAGTTGAGTCATGTGGGTTCAGACTTCATCTGTGCTACTCGTTGTGTGACCTGGGACAAAGCGTTTACTCTCTTGGAGTCTCAGTTCCCTCATATGTGCAATGGGGATAAATGCCACTGACGGGATGGTTCTGTGGGAAATAAGACAGCGTACTGAAAAGTGCATAGCGTGGTACTTGGCCCACTAATGGCAGCTGTGAGCCACAGTTAGGGTGCTGGGCCCACGCCGCAGCAGTGCTAGGAAGGGGTCAGGGCTGGCTTTGACCTTTGACCTCCTGGGACCACCTCTCTTCCAACAGATGAGACGTTGGAGGCCAGTCCTGCTGAAGGTCCCGTGGCTGGCTCATGCCCCGTGGACGTGACTGCGGCCCTGGAGGACTGCCTGTCCCAGGAGGTGCAGGACTCCTTCTCCTTCCTTGAGGACTCGAGCGGCTCAGAGCCCGAGTGGGTGGGGGCGGAGGACGGGGCAGCAGCCGCAGGGGCAGCCTTCTCCCCTGGGGAGGACGACCCTGGGATGGGCTACCTGGAGGAGCTCCTGGGAGCCGGGCCGCAGGTAAGGACGAGCCGGGCCGGGCCTGCGGGTGGTCAGCAGCCCACGGGAGGCAGGGCCAGCTGGTCCTCAGACAATGCCGTGCCCACAGGTGGAGGAGTTCTCTGTGGAGCCGCCCCTGGATGACCTCTCCCTGGATGAGGCACAGTTTGTCCTCGCTCCCAGCTGCTGTCCCCTGGACTCTGCTGGCCCCGGGCCTGAAGGAGAGGAGGAGAACGGGGAGGAAGTCTTTCTGAGTGCCTACGATGACCTAAGTCCCCTTCTGGGGGCCAAACCGCTGGCCTGGGAGGGTCCCAGTAGCCTGGAGGAAGAGGCCACAGGGTGCAGGACACACGAGGCTCCAGGGCAGGCGGAGGGAGGGCAGGCACGCCGTGAAGCTGGGGAGGACAAGGAGGCTGAGCCTGGCGGCAGGTGGGACATCAGGGAGGAGGCTGAGGGGAGCCCCGAGAGTGAGCTGGAGGCTGCAGAGGCAGGTGAGGACGGAGCGGGGGCCGGGGAAAGCCAAGAGATGATGGTCAGTTTGAGTGGGCAAGGCACGGAGGCCAAGGGAGAGGAGGCCAAAGGTCAGCAGGATGAGACTATGGAGGAAGCTACGGGTGTGGAGGAAACGGGAGAGCAGGGGAAAGGCAAGGAGGAAAGGAAGACGGAGCGAGAGGAAGAGTCTGAGGAAGGAGAGGAAGCCCAGGGAGAAGCTGGAAGGGGCCCAGAACACAAGGCCCAGGAGAGCCAGGCTGCTGAAGAGAGCCAGGGAGTCTCACAAAAACGAGAGGCTGAGGGAGGCAGAAAGGACGAGGATGAAGTCGAAGGACAGGGGGAGGATGGGGACCAACGGGCAAGAGAAGAGCAAGGAGACGGTGAAGACGGCAGAAGTGCAGAAGAATCAGCTGCCGGAGGAGCGGGGGAGGTCAGCAAGGAGCGGGAGAGCGGGGACGGAGAGGCGGAGGGAGACCATTTAGAAGACCGCTTCCTCTTTGAAGAGCCACATGGAGAGACCCTGGAGGTTGACGGTGCCAAAGAGGGCAACGCCCAGCCCTCTGAGACGGAGCAGGCAGCCCCACAGCCACCCCGACCAGAGGAGGTGGGGCCTGAGGGGCAGCCTAGTCCGGAGGGCTGCAGCCTGTGTCCCTGGCCCCTGGCCCCGGCCGGCGGTGTGAGCATGCGCCTGGCTTCCACCCTGCTTCAGGTCCAACAGGTCCGCTCCGTGCCAGTGGTGCCCCCTAAGCCACAGTTTGCCAAGATGCCCAGTGCCATGTGTAGCAAGATCCACGTGGCACCTGCAAACCCATGCCCAAGGCCTGGTCGGCTGGATGGGACTCCTGGGGAGAGGGCTTGGGGGACCAGAGCCTCCCGCTCCTCTTGGAGGAATGGGGGCAGTCTTTCCTTTGATGCTGCTGTGGCCTTGGCCCGAGACCGACAGAGGACTGAGGCCCAGGGAGTTCGGCGGACCCAGACCTGTACTGGGGGAGAGGACTACAGCCTCATCCCCAGAACCGCCCCCTGTATCGTGACCCCTGCCCATTCCTCTCGGCCCCTCAGCTTCTTGGAGCTCCCAGCTGAAGGCACAGAAGGGTCTGGACCCCGGAGTCGGCTTAGCCTGCCCCCCAGAGAACCCCAGCCCCTTCACCCACTTCTGCCCCCACAGCGCCGAACATATGCCTTCGAAACACAGGCTAACCCTGGGAAAGGCGAGGCACTGTGACTGGGACCAGAGCACTGGGCAAAGGGGACAGTATGTTGTCCTGAATCTCTGGGGTCCCTGACTAGCTGTGTCTTCTGCAGCCTGAGCAGTTGTGGTGCCCAACCCTATAGGTTCCCTCTGACTGTGGGAGGCACTGCCTCGGCTGGTTTGCCTGAACTTGGCTCAGACACAAAGCATTTATTCCTTAGGAGATTCCCAAGAAGGTGACCACGATCCTGTTCCTAGGGCGTGAGGTCACCGGCCATAGGGAACAAAGAGCAGGCAGAAATTTTAGAGGTTTCTCAAAATGAAGCATGAAGGGGGAACTCCAGCCAAGTTTCTGGCATTCTCTGAGGCTGTGAACTTCTCCATGGAAGCCCCCAGAGTGGGGTGGGGAGCACGGCCGGCCAGAGCCTTTCCCACACAAACACTTGTCGGATCGCTCACCTCCTTCTATTTTCGGACCCTGTATCCCCCCTGACCCTCTTGGTCCCAGGTTAGGAGTGACATGTCCAGGAAGCTCTCTGAAGAGCTCGGTGTTCGCTGGAGGGACTGGCTCCCTTTGCAGCCCCTCCAGCCCCTGCCTCCGGTCACGGTAAGGGGGAGGTCGGTCTGGCATGTCCTTTTGCCTTTGGAGTCATTTCCTCCTATTCCAGGAAAGGGGAAAAGCATCACTTGGGACCTGGGATTGCTTCTCCAGACAGGCTGGGGGGGGGGGGGGCGAATCCCATTCTAATAAGGGGTGATGTTTCAGAATAAAAGTTGTATTTTCACATGTAAACAGTGTGGGGCTTCATTATTCTTATTAAAGTCTTGGGTCATAGGTATTGCCATTTCATACGTTTGGCCAATTGTTGTTCTTTTTGTTGTTCGCGAGCTCTTCCTCAGTTGCCATGGAGACCTGTGGCTAGAAACCAGAGCTGGGTTCTCGGCGGTCAGGAAATGGGGAAGAGAAACCTACGTTTACATAAAGCTCATCATGTGCCAGGAAGGACTAGGTATTCTCTGCGCAGGAGCCTTTGCCTTCGGTTTTACCGAGTCCACCTGACAGTCCTGTCGGGTTGGCACCGGCCTGTCCCCCGCAGTCGAGGAAACGGACGCCAATGAAGTCCAAGGGCCTGCCGCGGTGTGGGCGGCAACCAGCGAGCCGCGGAGGCGGAGGGTGCAGGGCGGGTGCTGCCCGGGAAGGACGGGAATCGGGGTCCCCGTCACAGGGCTGAGCCTCGAACGCTGGGAGCCCGGGGTGGGGGCGGGGGTCTGCGTGCGGGGCTCCGACGCGGACACAAAGCCTGGGCGCGCCCAGCCACGGCCGAACCTCCCGCAGGAAACGTCAAGGGCGCCCCGACGCCCGCAGAGCCCGTGGGAAGGACGGCCGCGCCCGCACCCGCACCCGCGCGGGCCGAGCGCCCCGTCCGGGAACTACACGAAACGGCCGCGTCCGGCGGCAAGACGGCAGCGCGAGCTGGGCGTCTCCCCGCCGCTCTCGCCGAAGGCGCAGGCGCCCGCGTCCCTCTTCCGGGATCCCGGGCGGTCTCCCCGCTCGGCCGCCGCCACGCCCCGCGCGGCGCACCCCGCAGCCTCAGGGGGAGGGGAACGGAAGTGGGCGTGCCCCGGGCTGGGCGGACCGAGAGGGCACTTCCGCCCCTCAGCGGCATGGCCGCGCGCCGGGAGCGCGCATGCGCAGCGGCCCATGGAGCTGCCGGAGTCGGGACCGGGACCGCGGTGTCGGGGAGAGCCGGCGGCTGGGGCGGCCTTGGCCCGTGAGTGCGGCGCCCGCGGGAGGCCGGGGGCGGGGGGGGGGGCCGTGCCAGGCGCTTCATCTCCCGCCCGCTTTGTGGGCCGACTCGCGTCCCCGCGCGTCCCGCCCTGCGCGCCCGGCCGAGCGCGGCGTCGTGTCTGCGGGCGCTGCGGGGCGGGCCGGGGCCGAGGCCCGGCGCCTGTGGCCTGCGGGCCCGCGGGAGACGCCGCCGCGTTCCCGGCGAGGTCCGCGCGCCGGCCGCTGTCGGGACCGGACCGCTCTGCTCTCCCTTTGTGTCCAGACCGAGCGGGCGCTCGCTGGGCCCCTCGCGCCTGAGCGTGCGCGCCCCCGCGCCCGTCGCTCTCGGGGTCGCGGCCCCCAGCGCTCGGGAGGTGCTGCCGCGCGTCCGCGAGGATCGGCGTGCGCAGGCCGGCGCGGGGCGGGTGTCCTCCGCGGCTGTCCCTGGCTGACAGCCGGGCGGTGGAGCCGCCTCCCGCGCCGGCCCTCCTGCAGTCGGCGCTGCGAGCCCGGGCGGGCGCTGCCCGCAGCTTCCAGCGGGGAGAAGCAGGTGGTCCCGAAAGCCGGCGCCGCTCCCCCTTACGGACGGGGGGCTTCTTGCAGCGTTACTTCCTCCGCACAGTTTCACTTTCAGTTCCCTCTTTTTTTTTGGTTAACTGTTTGCTTGGATCCGGGCTTTCCAAGGGTCATCCGCTGAAGATTTTCCTTGGATAGGAAAGGTTTGGGGGACCTTATAGGTAGAGAATTTACACAAGTTACCCCTTTCATGTGGGATTTATTTTATTGCTTTGTACTGTGTAGCTGTTTCGTTCTGGAGGCATCTGTCTGCTCAACGCTTTGTTTTTTCTGCCTCCTGGCTGGGTGTCAGGGTCCTAAGGCGGGCACTTTGTGGATGGATTCCTCCCTTATTGTCGCTTGTCTTTCCCAATCCCGGCCTGGAGTTTTCTCCATTCTTGCTCAGGCTCCTTTATTTGGTGTTGTCATGGCAACATTGTAGCAATTCTGTTCTAGGCTTGGTGAATAAAATAGACGGGGCTTGAAAACGATACACTTGGGCTTGAAGAGGATACACTTGGGCTTTTGAGTCTTTAACCAACAACAAATGACATAAATCTGGACACCCCCAAACAAGAGCCCTGTCACTGTAATGGGGCCTGAGGGCCAAGTCTGGTATTTATAATGCAGGAGCGTTTTCCAGTGTTAATGGGTTTCAAGTTTCCCCTTCCTAGATTTGAGATCAGGGATTTCTTGGTTTACTGTACTGGGACACAATTTTTTTTTCTTTTAGCTGAGCCATCCTGCCACCTGTTGGCAGCTCAGCGGCAGCTCAGCCCGGGCCAGGCATTGAACCGCTGTTGCTTAGAGCTCGCACTCTTGAGCAAGCTCTTAACCAACTGAGCCACTCAGCTGGGCCTGGTTTACTGTTTCTACAGTTGCTTGTTCAATCACTGTACCCCATTTCCCAGCATTTGAATGAATGTTCCCTGCTCCTGGCTATGTCTTCATGGAGCCTACGTTATAGATATGGGCGGGGGGGTGGGGGTGGGCCAGTTTCCCAGAGTCACTGCAAACTACCTGATTTCTACCAGGACTTAGCACTCAGGCCTGTGAGTCAGGATATACGAAGACTTCCAAAGAAGGACCAGTTCCTCGGATGTGCCCCCTCACAGAGAGATGAAGGGGTGAGTGAGGAAGAGGTAGGGTCTGGGATGGGGGAACGGGAGACCTGAGAGTGTGCAGAGTGGCTCAGAGCGCTGGCTCCGGAGTCAGGCATTCCGGGTTCTCCATCACTTACTAGCTCTGCAACTGGCTTCCCCTCTGTAAAATGCAAGTGGCGTTAACCTGCCTCCCAGTGCAGCTCTTGGTACCGAATAGGATGGTGCCTGTTCCGTGCTTACCTCAGGGCCGACATACGTAGTAAACACTCGGTAAATTCTAACCTAACCTCGCATCTGTGGGAATGCCAGGGAGCTTTCTAGTCACTTCTCCCCTTATTCTCCCCTTGTCCCTTCATAAACAGGCAGCAGAAAACAGCTGAAACGGAAGAGGGGACAGTGCAGATCCAGGAAGGTGAGTGGTAGAAACAGAAGTGAACTGGGACCAAGAGCCCATCATGGCCTCTCCCTGTCCCATGGGCCACCTCCTGTGCTCTTTGAATTCAGGTGCAGTGGCAACGGGGGAAGACCCAACCAGTGTGGCTATCGCCAGCATCCAGTCAGCTGCCACCTTCCCCGACCCCAACGTCAAGTACGTCTTCCGAACTGAGAATGGGGGCCAGGTAAGGGAGGGGGCCAGGTGGCTGCAGGTGTTCCTGGGGGTTGGAATTGAGGGAGGTCATTGAGCCTGTCATGGGAGACCTGGCTTGGAGGATGAGGTGAAGTTGTGGACTGTTTGGGGGGTGGGGGTGGAGCATGACATTTGCAGTAGAGATTGGTATGGGGTAGGGCTATGCTGAAATCTCCATGTGGGGACAGGACGGGGAGAGGCTGGGTCTGTGTCCCCGAGGGACTCTTGTTCTGTCCAAGAGGAGCTTTGTGAGCGGTCCTGGACGCCCTAGCATGACGCACTCACCCTCCCTTTCCCTCTTGCCCTGTCCTTCCTGCTTCTAGGTGATGTACAGGGTGATCCAGGTGTCCGAGGGGCAGCTGGATGGCCAGACTGAGGGGTCTGGAGCCATCAGTGGCTACCCTGCCACTCAATCTATGACCCAGGTACAGGGGTATGAGTGGGGGAGGGGACTGGAGCTCTGAAGAGTGACATGAAGAAGGGAACCAGTGATAGGGCGAGGCCTCCAGGGCTGCCTGTCCTTTCCTGGATGCCTCTCCCTCCCTAGGGGTAGCTACAGAGTAGTACACAGGGGAGTCTCTGTCACTGGACTCTGTTCTCTTGCTCCCCTTGCAGGCGGTGATCCAGGGTGCATTCACCAGTGACGATGGCGTTGACACAGAGGGGACAGCTGCTGAGACGCACTATACGTACTTCCCCAGCACGGCCGTGGGAGATGGGGCAGCAGGGACTACATCCGGGAGCACCGCAGCTGTTGTCACTACCCAGGGCTCAGAGGCACTGCTGGGACAGGCGACCCCTCCCGGCACTGGTGAGATGCTGTGAGGGGCTGGCATGGGCTGTGGGATAGCCAGCGGGCGGTGGGCTTTCCCCCGTGCCCCCTAACGATCACTGAGGCCTGGGGAGGCGGGGAGTCTGGGGCTGCCCTTGCAGCAGAAGGAAGTTCGCTCTTGTCAGCGGCGGTTCCCAGGGCCTTGGCCTCAGTTGGGTGATGTTCTTCGCCCCGCGTCCTTACAGCACCTACCTGTATGCTCACAGGTCAGTTCTTTGTGATGATGTCACCACAAGAAGTGTTGCAAGGAGGTGGCCAGCGCTCCATTGCTCCCAGGACCCACCCTTACTCCCCGTGAGTAACCCTGTCTCTTCTCAGTTCCGTGAGTGGTGTTAATCCCTGCCAAATCTTGTGCGATTCCTGACCCCAGAGTCCAATCTTATTTTTTGACCTTCCGTCACTCTGGCTGCCCTGGGCTCCGTTGTCAGGAAGTCAGAAGCTCCCCGGACGACTCGGGATGAGAAACGCAGAGCTCAGCATAATGAAGGTAGGGCTGTGTGCTGAGGCTGGGGACAGCAGTGATGTCTGAGGGGAGGCTTCTCGCCGTCACCTTGTCCCACTTTGCCCCACAGTGGAGCGCCGCCGCCGAGACAAGATCAATAACTGGATTGTGCAGCTGTCCAAGATCATCCCCGACTGCTCCCTGGAGAGCACCAAGTCTGGCCAGGTCACAGCAGCAGGGCTCTCGTGGGCGGGAGGCCTGAGTTCTGTCTCCTGATCTTGTTTCCAGAACGCGTGGGCACACATGGCACTAGTCTCTTCTTATCTTTCAGGTTCCTTAGGGGACACTGAAGTCCAAAGTGTGAGCGTGCTTCTGGACACCAGCCAGGTGTTTTATCCTAATCCTCATTTTGTTGGCTTTTTCTTGCAGAGCAAAGGTGGGATTCTATCCAAAGCCTGTGATTACATCCAGGAGCTTCGGCAGAGTAACCACCGGCTGTCTGAAGAGCTGCAGGGGCTTGACCAGCTGCAGCTGGACAACGACGTGCTTCGACAGCAGGTCAGGTTCCTGGCCTCAGTGCAGCCCCCTGTGACCCCATAGCCACTGGCCTAGTTAGGGACACTGCACTTCGTTTTCATCTTTTTCCCTTTAGCTGTGAACGTCTGAGTAAGTCAGGGACTTGGCTGTGCCATACGTCTACCCCTCCCCTTACTGCCTCCTTCTCACGTCAGGTGGAAGATCTTAAAAACAAGAACCTGCTGCTGCGAGCCCAGCTGCGGCACCACGGAGTGGAGGTGGTCATCAAGAGTGACAGCAACTAGCTGTCGGCCTCGGGGGCTTTGGGCCCTGCAGCCCCGTGCCCAGGACTGCAGACAAGCTAACCTGGGCCCCTTTCCTTCACCGCCCACTTCTGGCACGGACGGGACTGGGACGGGACTGGGGGAGTTCAGAGGCGAGTGTGCACAGGCCCTGTGATACAGCAGCCTGCCGTGGTGTGAAACGCGTGGACGTGCACTGACGGCCTTGCCCAGCTCCACCGTGCAGCCCCTGGGCCCTGGTGCTCTCTGCACAGCGCGGGTGCTGTCTCCAGCTGGATATTGGACACACAGAAATGGGGGGCTCACCCAGTGCTTGCTTACAGCACCAGCAGAGGGTCGGCTGACCAGTGATGCTCTGGCTTGCCGGGGACTCTGGAACTTCCACGGGCTCTCCCTTCCCCTGGAGCTCAGATGTGCACCTGAGGACGCTGGGGAACAGGCTTTAGGCACAAGTGGGGGAAAGGATGCTGAGCAGTGGCAGCTGCCCCATGAAGAGAAGACTGGCCAGCAGCTGAGGCCCACGCAGAAGGAGCCAGGGAAAGCCACAGGCAGGGGCCCACGGGGCCTTCCCCTTCGTGGGGACTGCTGATTTTTTCCCTTTTCTTTCCTTTTTTTTTTTTTTTTTAAGATAAAATATTCAGAGCCATAGTTGTCTCCCATTTTTCCTGGGGTGGGAATAGAGGGGGCACAGTGTGCTGTGATCAGTGAGCCTTGGGCCGAGATCCGACTGGGAGCCGCTCCTGTGCCCCTTACTCGGAGCCCTAGTTCATGGGCCCGACCAGAGGGGCGTCACAAACGCAAGGATTTTTCTGGTTGGTTAGTGTTCGCGGCACCGTGAACCGTGCGGGAGGCTCCGCCTTGCTTCCGGTTCCGGTCTCTGTTCCGGGAGGGCAGGAGGGATGCAGGCCGGCGGGGCAGCGTTCGTGCAGCTCGCGGCGCGGCGCGCACCCCGCCTGCACGTGTATGCGGGGCTCTGGGGTCGCGTCCTGCCCTCCTTGTTGCCACGGGCGTACGCGGGGCCCCTCGGAGGGGTGTAGCGGGGTGGGGGGCGTGGCTGCGGTCCACAGTCCCGCTCCCAGTTGGGGTGCCGCCGGGTGCGGGGTGCAGCCTTGTGGGGCGGCGCCGTGTGGGGTGGTGGGGCTCCGTGCCGGGTGGGGGCGCCGCGGCAGGCCCCCCCCCCCCAGCTGCATACTTTGTTTAGAGCTCAGTGCTCTCAGTTTGATGCGAGGTACAGACACACACACAGCCCCCCCCCCACACACACACACCTGCAGCGCCCACCGTCTTCTCCCGGAACTCTGCTCGCTCCTGGCTGCGGGCCGCGGGCGGCTCGTGGACGTGAGATCTCGGGGGGAAGCGGTCGCCGGGACCATCCCCGGGGCCCTCAGCATCCCGAGGACGGGGTTGGGAGGGGGCGCCCGCTCGTGGCGGGCCCAGGGGGCCTTAGCTGAGCTCCAGGCCACAGGTGGTTTTGCTGACTTTCAGCGTGGGTGGGCTATGTCCTGTCCTTGAGGTTGGGGGTGGTGGCCACCATGAGTTGTTTTGGGGGTCCCAGGAGATTTGTTCGACCACCAGGACCCAGTCCTTCCAGGCAGAAGCTCTGAGCCTGAGATCACCAAACTGCGACTCTCGGTTCTGTTCTCTGACGTCCTCCCGGCGTTTGAGTTGGAAAGCGCCCTGCAGGCGGCGCCCGCTGCTTCTCCGGGCTCTGCGCTCGCCCCGAAGCCGAGGCTGGAAGACAGACAGTCTGTTTTCTTCTGTCAGATGGGCGGGCAGGGCTTGCGGGCCACCCAGTTAGCCCAGGGCCGGCCCGTGGATGCAGAGGGCATGGGGAAGGTGGCTGCTGGCTAGGCAGCAAATGGGGACCCCTCCCGGCCTGCCCTGCCCTGCCCTGCCTCCACTGGGCTGGCAACTAGGCAGGGACCTATAGAGAATGGTTCCAGAAGGGAGGTTAGGTAGAAGGTGGCTTCCTGACTGTGAGCCCATCCCCCAGAGCCATCTAAGTAAAGGTGAGGAAGAGGCTGACTTGTTGGGTGGGGCAACACCTGTACACACAAAAGCATCAAATAAAGAGCATTTAATCTAAGCCCTGGATGCTAGCACCCCATTTGTCAGGTGAGTTGAAAACAGTTCTGATCTTAATCTAGGCCTCACTTCAACCTCGGGTCCTTCTCCTTCCAGCTTCATCTACTCCCCCACCCCACACACATTAAAAAAAATTTTTTTTAATAAAACACCAGGGGCCGGCCGAGTGGCGCGTTGGTTAAGAGCTGGCTTGGGATGCCAGAGGGCCCCGGTTCGGATCCCACATATGAGGGTCAGTGACACTGCCCTCTACAGCTAAGATGCTGAACAGCTCAACTTGGAGCTGGGCTGCCGTGAGTAGCCGGTGACAGCGTAGGCTGCAGCCCCTGTGGCAGTGGGTTGCCATGGGCTACCGTATGTAGCCAGCAGCCAGCAGCCA